TACAGGTTTCTGTGGCCCTCATCTCCACTTAGGAACATTTGTCCTATGATTATAGTCTCCAATCACTCTGTTCTGGAAACATTTGTGGTCTTCAACAGTGATTGACAGAGTTCTTACCGGTGTTCACTCAGTGTCACAACATCATGTCATACTATGTTGATTGCCTGGACTTGCTTACGTTTGCCCTGAAGATATGAAAACATAGTCTTCTCAGATTATCCTTAGTGAGTTGTCTTGATTATAAGAACCAATGTTTACAAAAAAGTGGTCATTATGTAAGGTGATATATGCCTTAATTTGTGGTAATTTGACAATATATACATGAATTAAACCCTCACATTATACATATTTTAAAAACCACATCAAACAATGTAAATAAAGCCACATTGTACCACCTAAATGTCAATCATACCCTAATAACACTGGGAAAAAAATAGCAAAATGAGAAAAATCTCTTCTAGTTCTGGTTCTCTTGATTCAGGCCCTGTTCAATAGCCCATATTGTATTCCTTTTCTTCTACAAGCAAGGATCTATATTCATGCCTGGTCCTAATGTTTGGCTATGGGAGCAGGACTTGAATGACTAACTGGCTCCTGCTTGCTGTGATATTTGAGTAAACTCTGTTCCTGAGGTCCCTTGGGCGACTTAGATTATTACAGCCCTCTAGGTTACATTCTAACTCAGATTGCTCACCTGAGTTTGGTTTGTATTTGCAGCATCTAATCACTCACATCCAGTTTTAGGTGATAGCCTTTCCCACAGTCTTCTCTGTTCCTCCACAGTTAACCATACACTTGTGTGACCAATTAGAAATAGAGTTCATGGAGTTAAATACCATCCAAAATATTTGCAAGGTCAAGTATTTCATCATTCTAATCTCCCAATATGTTACTTCTGCTGATTTTCATTAATAATGTTTGATGTGTCAGAAATAACACGTTTACCTAGGTAATGGAAACATACTCTTTGCAGATTCTCCTTCCTGAATTGGGAAAGCATAATGTTACTTTCTAGAATGAAGAACACAATGATAGCAGAGCCTATTTGTTACTTGGCCAGTCTGTTAATCTGCCAATAAACCAATGTGGGCATCACTACAATGCTTCTATCAGGAAGTAACTAAGTATATTGAGTCATTTCTCCTTGGCTCAAATATGTCTAGAAGTAAGTATCTTTGTAAGCCAGAATTAACTCCTTCAGGCTACAAAGGAATTTAATAGTGTTTAGCAGACTGCTTTGCCAACTTAAAAAAAAAAAAAAATTCTGTTTTCCTGGCAGTAGTAATGTTCAGATTAGTAGGAGATAGTTAAGGAAGTTCAGTAAAATGTGAGCTAGATCTCGGATCTCAGAATTCAAAGATTCTTGCTAAGATCCATAGTGTAAGAAATCTTAATTTTAAAAAGAAATTAGAGACAAAAGTAATCATTAATATAATTGGGAGAAGTATGGAGGTACGGGCTGGTGGTTTTTCAGTAACAGTCCAATTTTTCTTATAAATTACAGTAAATTCAGCTAACACTATAGGAAAATATCTCAAATAACTGAATATTAGCCCTGAATATAAAAATTGTTTTGAGATTGTACTCTAGAATTGAGAACTAGCATGTTAAAAGCAGTAATGGGAAGATTCTGAATTCCCAAGTAGAAATCAGCCTGCACAATGCAGATCTTCTCTCCTCCTAAACAGCAGTTTACTTCATTAGAATTGGAGTGACCCACAGGGAAGAGAAGAGTCAAAACAATTTCATCTCCCCTCAGGGCTGAAAATTAGTGCCGGCAAATTGACTATATTTTGTCATTGTTATACTAGGTATGTCTGAATAGTGCTCTTTTTCTAAAATGAGTGGCAGGCCCAAACTGAAAAATTAATGTATTTTATATGAGGTAGGCATACCATAAGCCAAACCATATGAACAGAATAACTATGAGCCCTACCTTTTATCTTTAGTATTTCTTACTTTTCCTGATTTCTTCTACTTTTAATCCCAAACTATTTTTCCCATTATGAATGAAATAAAGATTTGGAAAACTATAAAAAAAAAAAAATTAAACCCACCCAAAAGCCTAGCATCCAGGAGCAATGTGGCCCAATACTGACATGGATCTTTGTTTTTTCCCCAAGTCCTTAGTGTATGTGTTTTTCACTCATTCTATATAGGCCATTTTATATCTTGATAGTAAAACTTGATAGTTTTACATAACTTTTAAACATAAGCCTTCCCCTGGCTATTGACAACCTTTGGATACCTTTTAATAATTGTACAGTGTAATACTATTTGTTTAGTTATTCATCTAATGAACATTTATTTTCTTTTTTTCAAAATTGTCAATCAGGTTGCATGATTATCTTTGCTCTTTACCACTCTGGCATCTAGCTGAGACACATTCTAACTGTAACACCCCCTGGTTCTGCTTCAATAAGGACTTGTAGTATAACTAACATTCATTCTTTTCGAACTTTATTTTTGCAATGTGATGACATAGCTAAGAGTGTAAGGGTTCTGGCTATAAATATGAAAAACAGGAAAGCATCACATGCTGTCAGATCTGTTCTAACCTTACCAATGGCTTAATATTCCTGTGAAAGTCTCTGCTAACTACAGAATAGAAATACATCGCAGTAAGTAATCAGTTCACCCATGGAAGCCCACTGTAAAAAGGACAGTGTTTCACTGCCCACTACAAACAGCACAGTACAGAAACAGCTCAACAGAGGACCGCTGGAGGCAACAAAGGCTATAACATAGTCTTCTATTAAGAAACACAACAGCTAAAGTCATGCAAATTATTATGCACTACTATGCTTTATGCTATATTACAAATAAAGCCATTTTATGTAATGGATTGGGGCTGTTTCTTGAAATTCAGAATAAGCCTTATTATGAAACTGAAACCATTATGAAGAAAACTAATACAAAATAACCTGAATGTCCTTTGCAAGTCTAAAGTTCTATGAAAACACTATTAGGAAATGGCATGTCTTATACAAAATGTTTGAAGTGGTTCTATTAAGTGTGTGAGCTATCTACTTCTGGTAAATTTCCAAGTTTTGTTGGTCCTACCTCAAAATCCTTCATATCTATCCTTTTCTTCCCCTTACCCCTGTCTACCATTCCTAGACAAAATAGAAGTTTCTTACAATGTCACATAAGGTTTTTCATTATTACTCCCATTTCTTCAGTAATGAAGTTGTTTCAGCTAAAGGAACAATTAATTCCTGAAATTTAGTAACATATTCACACTTCAATTTTTATTGTGAATAGTGTTCTAACTAGAATGTTATTCCTTTGTCTGCCTTTTCTACTGCTATTTAACCTTTGACATTTACTCCTCAAAAGTTTACCCTCTGATGTCTTTTGCAAGTTAATTACCACCCCCATAGCAACTATTTTATTGCATTTTAGTTATTTTCTGTTTGACTCTGCCTCTAAATTGAGCTACTAGAGATTATTGATCTGGGATGTCACCTCAGTATCTGTTAACACCCTGCTATCTTATATCATGGCAGATAGAGCAGTGTCTGGCATGAAGAAATGAGTGTTTGTAGGGTGAATAAATGAAGGAACTTTCACCAAAACTACAAAAGAAGATTACAAAAGCTATCTGATGACAACTGTTAATTTTCAAAAAGGTTTGCTTAAATATGGAGATATAGGGGGCCTCCCTGATTGCACAAGGGGTTAAGAAGCTACCTATGAAGCTATCCACAGCCATTGCAGCACGAGTTTGATCCCGGGCCAGGGAGCTACCCACATAGTGCAGCAGACCTCTCCGGACATGCCCGCTGCTCCCCTCAGCAGTGTATTTCAGTCAATCTGTGTGTTCTGTTCCCCAATCTGTCTCTAGTGAATCCTTTCACTCCTCATACCTCTGGCCTATACCCTAGTTCTTGTATGCATAAATAAATCTTTAAAAAATAAATAAGGAGATACATTTATCCATGATCAAATATTCAGTGTCTTAGAATAAAACCTTGATTTTAAAATTCTATCACAGTTAGTGATTGAGCTGGTAAAAAGTGTGTATTGAGAATTCTTACACCGTTGTTCTACCAGCCCTGACTGGTACTTAAAGGAGAACTAAATTAGTAAGTTTACTTGCATTGAAGTTTGATGTGTGACAACTGTACAAAGTCAAAGATGTTCAGTTAACTGATGGATGCAGTTAATTTTTAGGAGTCTTCATCTCTAAGTGGCTTCCATTCCAATCTCATTTAAAATTTTTAAAATAAGGAATGACTGAATTTTATTAGAGGCCATTAATTTTTGTTAACATAGCCTTTGTACTTCATAATGCATTAAGTTCTACTTACTGCTTGGAATTGAAACACTCTTGCATCCCTGGACCATGCCTTCATTTGTCCAGGCATTACTCTTGTCAACTAACTCTTCATGTGGCATTTATCTTTATGAGATTAATGGGTATTTATTGTACACATGTACAGTTTCAATCCACATCATTCTTTGTTACATGTTTGAAATCAGTTGAAATAAACATTGAATCAAATTACCTCAAAGCTTGAATATAGATTATTGAAGAAATAGTTTAACCAAGTTTTAATGAATCATGATAGCTAAGTTTATTGTGTTTGTGTCACAGTTATTGTAATTGCTTTATATGTATATACTCATTTGAATGCTATGTCATTCCTGTGAAATAGAAATTATCTGTATCTTGGTGATGAGGTACTGAGACAAAGTACTATGGGATACACAGGTGGTGAATGGTAGAAGCAGGATATGAACGCCATCAGTCTGACTCCAGAGCCAACATTCTTCCCCTTATGCAACATTCTCTCAGTATGATACTACAGGAAACACAAATCCCAAGAATCCAGAGACAGAAGCTGACATAATCATTATTAGTAATTAAACAATGTAGCGCTTATAAAAGAATTATCATAACTACATACCCTCTAGTGATATAATATGTATGTAAGCATAATTATTTAATAAGTTAAAAAATTACAAAAATAATACTTTTTTTCCCATCTTTTCAGCAATCTTGACACAGAAGAGCTATGTGGTAAGTTCCTTTTTTATGGTCTTTTTATTCTTGCTGTAAATTTTTTTACTGAGATAACATTGGTTTGCAACATTGTACATGTATTAGGAGAATAAGTTCATACATCTTCAGATGCATATTGCCATACCCACACTAAAGAACCCATAATCCACCATAGACCATTAGTCCCCCTGACCCCTGTATCTGAATTGTGCATTCATATTTCTGGGGTTTGTTTTGTATGAGTTTTTCTGTCCTTTACTTTGTTCTTTACATTCCACATAGTAGTGAAATCATCTGGCACTTATCTTTCTCCTCCTGACTTATTTCACTTAGCATAATCCCCTCCATTTCTATTTTGTTGTCAACAATGGTGAGAATCCATCTCTTTATCATAGAATAATATTCTGTAGTATATATATACCACAGCTTGTTTATCCACTAAACTGTCATTGGGCACTTAGGTTGTTCCCATAACTTGAAATTTGTAAATAATGTTGCAACGAACGTAAGAGTGCATATACCCTTCAAAATAGTGTTTTTGCATTCTTTGGGTAAGTACTAAAGAGTGGAATCTCTGAATAATATGGTAGATATAATTTTACTATTTTAAAAAAGTGTTTTCCATAGGGACTGAACCAGTAAGTTTCTTTAGGAGCAATCAAACCTGCTACTTACTTTAAACTCAAAAAGAGCACTGTCATATATTTCTATATACCCTGAAATTAATTTCATAAATTAGTTCTAGAATAAAGTAAAAGGTAACTGAGATCTCAAGGGATTTATCTTCGAGTCCTGCTCAAGCATGTATTTCATTGCAAAAAGAGTTGGGCCTTATTAATTTCCTCCTGGGAAGAAAACTGCTATTATAGTTGGTACAGTTAATTTTGCAACTACAAATTCTCCACTAGTTTGAATATATTTCTAAATTGGTGTTTTGTGCAACTTCATTATCTTAAATATATTGTGCAGTCACTTTTTGTTTTCGCAAAGTTGCTCCCTTGAATGTAAAACAAGTTTGTCTTATACCTGCCTAAACCATTCTGGAATTTTAAATGTCACTTGCAAGATAAGGGAATTACTACAAGAAAAATCTTTACAGATTCCTGATACAGCAAACTGTTTTTCTTCATCTTTGTATTTGAAAACAAAAGTAAAAGTCTAGGAATGTGGAAAGGCAGATATTTTTAAGGTTCTTTGTTTTGAAAATATTATGGAGCATTGTAAGTCTATTCAAATTGAAACAGCAATATTTCTTTGAAAACTGGAAGGTGATAAGTTTTATGTTTCAAGATAAATGTATAAGCAAATACCTTTGTCCAAGTTTGATCTTACTGTCTAGGCTACCTAAAATAATTTGGTTAGAGATAAGCTTCTTTGAAACTTCTAATTGAAACCAGAGGTACTTCCTGAAAAGTTTATAATTGCTAGACATTGAAAGTTTACTAAAATCCTACAAAAGACTATAACATTTGAGTGGTTATTTTCCATTTCATCAAAATGGTAGAGCAACACCAAGAGGTGTCATGCCAGGACAAAATAGCAAAATACAGAATTTCAAACACAAAATTAATGTGATAATTATCAAACATAAGCTTTCAGCCATTTTCCAATAGCTATAAAAGGCGATGCTTCCTGTCCCTGCAGTTTCATCTACTGCTCAGTGAGAAACTCCAAGAGAATAGCAAGATCAGCTTATATAGTGGTAAAGTACTTGGGTACCAAAGCAGGCCACGCTTTTGTTAGTATGAAACATTAACCGAGAATAATGGGGAAATCCTGATATCATTATCAGACTATCATCCATTTACATAGGAGCATTACCTGTGCCAAATGGTCCAAAGGTCCAAGTGGACCATGACCACCAGTTTTCCTGGTGAATAATGATCATTATAAAGTTGTGGCCCAATCTTTTCTGTTGTTAGTCCCTGCTAGTAAGAGATGAAGTAGTAAATGAGATGATTGTCTTCATCATTTAATAAAGGTGGTAGACCTATTTGCCTCAAATGTCTACATGTGTGAAGTCAAAGTTATCTCTTCAAATCATCCAGATAATTTTGCTTTGCCACTTGCCTTTGCCTAGGGTAGGTATGGTTCATGAGACAGCAAACATTCCATAAGGGCTTTTATATATTTAGTGTTCTTCTATAGACATTTGCTACGTTGCTACCTATAGTCATTTAAAGGTATGATATAGCTTATAGATCAGACACTGGGGCTGTGGTTCTCTTTCCCATCTTGTAAAATGGAGGGTGCAAAAGCTGAGTACCTTCAGCTACTAAAAAGAAGCCAAGAAAGCTAATGCTAGTGACAAGGTTCAGAAAGCCAAGGCCAAAACCCCTAAAAAGGGGAGTCACACAGGAGCTGAAATGCTGTCCCAGTGACAGGAACTGTCAGGTATTCCTGATTTGCTAATTACTCCAGAAGGGCCACAAGGGGAAGTGTAGCAGTGTCATATCCATAGAAAGGGGAGGTGCCATGTTCCCTGCTCCCCTCAAGGAAGGATAGAGCTGAGCAGCGAGACAAAGCAGGAGATCAAGAAGACTTGGAGGAGGCACAGAGAGCAGAATGGCATGTGAAGAAAAAACTGCACTTGCTCGGACTTGTACTAAGGACTTAGGGGACATGGAAGGAGATACTTGAGAGAGGCAAAGACCAGGGTGAGCAACCCAAGGGGAGGCTGACAGTGGCAGCCTTTATCTTGACTTGGATTTTGATTTTGTTCTTTTCCTTCCAGATTTGCCTGGCCCCTTCTGCCCCTTTCCTATGGGTCCCCCCCAGGAGGTGCCTTAGACTCTGTCAGGCTTTCAGGCCTTAGTGGCCCTGCTTTGGGCCAACCCTTGTTTGGCTGCACATTACCCCACTATCTTCTTTCTCTTCTCTGTTGAACACTAATTAATATTCTTTTCCATTAAAGGTCTTATGCACTAGAGTATGTTTTGTCTTGATGTATCAGAGCACGTAGGTTTGGGAGTCCTGGGTGCACCTCATTCTGCCCATTAGCAGAAGTTTTCAGCAGCTAAATCCAGGTTTGGGAAAAGAAAAAAAAAAGGAGGAGGTACTTGCTACTGTCACAAAACCAACCAGTGCCTGAGAGGTTCAGCTTTTCAGAATGCCTAGAAAAGATACTATCCTACTGAAGATGTACCTCAAAAAACACTCGGCACATAGAAACCTGCGAGCCATAGAAACCTGCGAGCTGGCAGCATTCCTGGGACCGTTCTGATCAGCCTAACTGGGTATTAGAGGCAGGAGGGTGGTTTTCTTGAAGCAGCTGAGCAGTGGCTTCTATTTGTGACTGGGCCTGTGTCCCTCAATCCAGCCCCCCTGGATAGAACACACCAGAAATGTGTCATCACCACCTGCTGTCAGTGGTGTGACGATCCCAAAGCATCTCACCAATGCTTGCTTCAAGAAGCAGCTTTCTAAGCCCACTCACCCCCCCCCCCACCACCACCACCGGTAGGAAAGATCTTGGACACAGAGAAGGAGAAATAGGAGGTCACAGGGCAGCATAAGTTTCAGCAGAAAGCTGTGGACTCTCAATTCTGCCAAAAATCAAAAGCTGTTAGCTTCACGGCTACCTCTGCTTGTGCTTGCTCTCCAAGCTGGAATTTACCCTTGGAAATGGGTGTTTTATATTTTTCAGAGAATCTAATTAAATAATGACCATTTTTTTAAAAAATCAAGAGTTACATATCCTCTATCTAAGATAATGCTGTTGTTAAAAAGTATTATATATCATTTATTTTAGTATGAGTTAGCTCCACTGAATTATTTTTCTTTTAAATGTTTTGAATTTGTCTTCTATAAAATGTAACTAGATTAGGAACCTACTTTGTATTTATTGCAAAAGCTCTGTTTCTCTCCCCCCCCCACCCATAGTTAGGGAACTGAGGACTAGTATAATTCAATGAAATTATTTTTAAACCCAGTGATTGTACCCTCACTGGTGTGTTACAATCCTCCGCCTCTCTGTTCAACAATATGCATTTTAATTCCCACAGTGTAGTTTCATTTCTCATTATTTTGTGAATATAAAGTCAATATTGAAGTTGGATTCTAATCAAAACCAAATGTTTCAATGCTACCAAGAGAAATATGTCTACTCACACCCCACACAAATTCCCCTTGTTTGTGGGAGCAACGGTAGTTGATTGGCAGAGGAAACAGACTTCTCCTCCTCCTCATTCATAGTAGTCAATTAAAAGGTCTCGGTATCAAAATGTTCCTTGCTTTTACTTATTTTGTCAATGTACTGATGTATGGATGTGGAATTTTAAATCAAATTGAAATGTTATTTTTTTAAATATATTTTTAATTTTAAATTTGAAAATAATACCTAACTTTCATTGAACAATATAGAATTCTGTAGATGTACAAGATAGAAGGTCAGTCTCTCCTTTTTACCCCTGCTACTGATCTCCATTGCTAACTGCTTGGAATGCATTCTTCCAGGCACCATTCCTATAGTGATATTGATAATTATGTGTATATTTTTCCAGCAGTGAGATCATACTGTGTTTATCAGGGCATCACAATACCGGAGGTACTGTTCTACCCCCTTTTATTTAAAAGGCTACACAGTGCCCCATTTAAGTTAATCTTTCAACCAAGTCCCTTTTAATGGGTTTTCAGATTATTCTCAACTTTCTACTGGGACAAATAGCACTGAAAGAAATATCCTCATCTGTATTATCCTTGCACTCTGGTACGAGTAGTTCTAGTAGGTTCCTACAAATATAACTCCTCAGGCAGAGGTTCTTTTGATGTGCACACCCACCAGCAGAGTATAGGCATGCCAAAATTATTCATCCTTCACACAATAGTGAAGATCTTGTTAAATAGCAGCTTTAGGCTTTGTGTCTTATTCCTATCAATCCATACATTCATTTAATTAGGTCAGTGTGTTTGAACTCTAGCCTGGGGTCTTTGATTTCCTGTTCATGCCAGGTTTAACTCTGATCTAAAACTGGCCCTTCCCAGTTCATAACTGTTTTGTTTTTTTTTTTAACCTTTCACTTTTTTACTGAATGCTTTTGCAGATCATGAACTTGGTAGCTAAGCATTTTGGAATATTAATAGATGGGTGAAGAACAATTGCCAGGCAAGTTCATGTAGCTAGTGTAGTTGATCTAATAGCGTATCTGCAAAAAAGCTTGATGAGCAAGGTTAAATATATTCAGTAGTCTAATTTCTCATCTAGTTGTTGCTTACCAAATTTTAAACTAATAGTCAACAGGATCTGTAAGAACTGAGGATGCAGGAAACTACTATTAATGACACACTAGTTTCATATGTGAAGTTCCTTTTAGTAGCTGTGCCAGAAGCATCCAAGTCAGATTGCAGAGGAATGTGGCTGGTCTTGTCCAGAACCTGGACCACATAGAGGGACCTGGGTCACCTGGGTCTATGTGCTAGAAAACCCAAGTTTCTATTCCTCTTTAAGCCTGTTATAAACTTTTGGCTGCCTGGCACATTTATAAAATCACCAAAATGGTTTGTAAAATACTTTGAGTGATGCTGATCCTCATCCCTATAAAATGTTCTTACTATCCCATTGATGTGCTTACTTGGAGTATATTCTCTTATATTCTCTCTCTCTCTGTGTCTTTCTCTCTCTCTCTCTCTCTCTCTCTCTCTCTCTCTCTTTCTTCCCCCCCCCTCCTTTTCTCTCCTTGCTTAATCTTCATGGCAGCTGTGAACAATGGCACCTCTCATTTTCATTTGGAATTCTTAAGCCAGATTTGCAAAATCAACATCTTTGGTGACTGAAATGCAGAATAAAAGAAAAAAAAGCCCTGGAGTTTGGTGATGTGACACCCCTGACAGTACAGTAGACACAGGGAAATTAACCTTGGGTTAGTGTTTTATTAGAGAAGATGCTGCATTGAATATCTGTGAGAATATAATTCACTTCCTAACAGATGACTTGTTTATGACATGCTCTGATGTTTAGACTTTTTAACTTTTCTAACAATTATAGTGATGAAGGCTGGTCCTTGCATATTTCCTTGTATATGATACAACTCTCATTTTTTTGCCCACAGAATCTACATATCAGTGGGTCTCTTCTCCAAGTTATTCTAGTTTCCAAAGGACAAGAAATTTAAGGAACCAGTATTTCTGTATTTCTCTCTTAATTCTATAATTTAAGGATAAGACACATTTGCACAGCCCACACTAGCATCATGATTCAATGAGAAGCATGAGTCACAAAAACAGGAATAAAACATTAGTCCAAACTCAGCCACTTCCAAAGCCATCACTGACCTTCCTTTCCTGCTTGCCACATCTTGGGGTAAGCTGATACACTGCATGCTCCTGCCTACTCCTACCCGTTTCCGACTCCTAGCTTTGACATGGCCCATGGTTCTTATTCTGTGATTAAATCACTCCTAGCCATTGATGTGACCCTTGTCTTTCCAAAATTTGTGTCACCAACATTCCCCAAACTTGCCACAGTGTATTTGGGACAATCTTTTTAATAGGAACATTTGAGGATGTCAGTATCAACACAATGATTCTGAATTAATATACAAGACCTTATCAATAATCTTCACTTCTGGGCCTCCCTGGTGGCACATTGGGTTAAGCACAGGACTGTGAAGCTGTCTGCAGGCTCTGCAGCATGAGTTTGATCTCCTATCTCACCTGCTGCTTCCCTCAGGAGTATATTTCAATAGATCTGCCCGTTCTGCTCCCCATTCTGTCTCTGGTGAATCCTCTCACCCCCTGCACCTCTAGCCTGTACCCCAGTTCTTGTATGCATAAATGAATATTTTTTAAAAATAATCTTCACTTCTAATGAGGACTCCAGAGCTGTGCTTTCTCAGGCTTAAAAGTGTCTACAAATTACCCTCTGGACCTTATAAAAATGTAGATTCTTGGAGGCAGAGGGTTAATAGAGTGCATTAAACCCAATATCCTTTGTGTACTTTGAGTTCTTATTGTTTAAATGTATAATTTCTCCTTATTGCCAGATCTTGTTACAGAAGGTAAAGATTCAATCAACAGGTACCTACTATGCCCAAAAAAGCCCCACAAAAATATCTCTAGATGAATATTTAAAAAACACAGATTGAGACTATGTAGGACTGAGGTGGCCTTGAAAGGCTGTGTTCTAGCAAGTCCCCAGTGATGCTGACACTCCAGGTCTACAGACCACAAGTTGGGTAGTGAGGCTCCAGAGATTTCTCTAGAGGATTGTGATGAAGATGGTCAAAAATACTGACCTAGGGCCTCTCTGGTGGTGCAGGGAGTTAAGCACCACACTATGAAGCAATGCACAGCCTCTGCAGCACAAGTTCCATCCCCTGTGGGCCAGTGAGCAACCCAGATGGTGAGGCAGACCTCTCTTGTCTCACCCGCTACTTCCCTCAGCATTTTATTTCAGTCAGTCTCCATGTTCTGTTCCCCACTGTGTCTCTGGTGAATCCTTTCACACCCCCACAAATCTGGCCTGTGCCCCAGCTTTTGTATGTTTAAATAAATAAATCTTTAAAAAAAAATACCTAGACTTGAGAGTCTAGGAGTACTTCCAACACTTTCTTTTTTTTTATTCTTTTTTTTTATTTCTAATAATAAATTTTATTTTTATATTCCCCATACAATTTCAACCCCTTCATTCTGACCCCAATCCCTCCCCTCCCTCCCCCCACCCCACAAAAAGTGTCTCTGGTTCATAATTTTTGTTGATTTTCACTTATAGTTATTCAATTTCCTGGTCCCTTATTTAAGTTTTCTAGATTCCTGCTATGAGTGAAACCATCCGGTATTTTTCTTTTTCTTTCTGGCTTATTTCGCTGAGCATGATCCCTTCCAGCGCCATCCATGTTGCTGCAAATTGCATGTGTTTATCTTTTTGAATGCTGAGTAATATTCCCTGGTATATATGTACCACATCTTCTTGATCCAGTCATCTATTTTTGGGCATCTGGGCTGTTTCCAAAGCTTAGCTATTGTAAATAGTGCTGCTATAAACATAGGGGTGCAGGTGCTCTTTGGAATTGATGTTTCTGTGTCCTTTGGGTAATACCTAGGAGTGTAATTGCTGGATCATATGGAAGCTCTATGTTTAGTAGGTCCAGAAATCTCCACACAGCTCTCCATAGTGGTTGGACCAGTTTGCACTCCCACCAACAGTGCAGAAGAGTTCCTTTTTACTTCCAACACTTTCAACCTTCTCACTTGTCACTGATTTTTAGCATCTTGCTGCCTTTTCTTAAGTATCTCCCACTTCTGTCTTTTTTATTCTAGCAATGCTGAGCTACACATTCTCCGGCAAACATGACATCACTTCCATGCCTTTGTTTACCCTCCCTCTGATTATCCTGCAGAGTATATTCTGTCTATCTGTTCAGGTCCTACTGGGAACTCCTCTGGATTCTCCAATTTATCCCAGGAGGACTTGGGCATTCTTTGTCCTGTACTTAGATTGCACCTTGTTCCTAGACTCTTAAACAATTGGCTTCCACAATGGTCATGTATATGGCAATTGCTTGTTGAAATGTTTATTTCCTCTGCTTGTAGTCTCCTTAAAAGTAGAGGTGTTCTCTTTTCACCTTGTGTATTAAATCTCCTAGTATAGCACTTGGCATTAGAAGGCATTCTATACCTATGTGTTATATCATGGGATGAGTAAGTGAACCTGCACCATGATGAACCTGCACATGATGAACACATGTGAACCTGCACATGATGAACACATGTTTGTGTTCATTGGATCCCTGTTTGCTCTGACACATGTCCCTTTGTGAGTAAGTTATAAAATAGAGTGACACTAAACTATACCATCTCAAAACAACCCTTACATTTAGATATACAATTTCAAATCTTTTCTAGGGATATAAAAATAGGCTTCTGAGAATAATTTTTTATTTAAACAGTCTTGTCTTTGGATCAAGATTTAAGATTTTTTTTTCTTTTTCTTTGGAAAGAACATTTCAAGAATAATGTAACCATCTAGGTCTCTTCAACAAAATAAATGTATTGACACATTAGTCTCATTTGAAAACCTTTCAGTTTTCATTTATAGCTGGCATTTCATTTTACTCATTTTTGGTGAAAATCAACAGTTGGTTTTTTGATTTAAGATTATCTAAATGTAAACATGAAATTATTTAAATTTTTTCACTTTTCAGAATATTTTTCTCAACACTTGGGAGAGTATGAGAATGTTCTAGCAGCACTTGAAGACCTAAATCTTTCCATCCTGAAGGCAATGGGCAAAACTAAAAAAGTAAGGAAATTTTGATGTTTCTTTTCTATTACCTGCTTGGAAATTTTTTTTCTTGAAAATCATAGCTATTTCTTTATTGTAAAAGTATACATTCAGTGTTCACTGATAATTTATTTTTCTTTCAATTGTATTTCCTCATAATACAATGAAAAAGTCCTTACTGGTTACCAAATACTACACTTTGTCTTCAGACACAGAGCTATTTAACCAGCATGTATTATGATGGGAAGACAAGTTCATAAACAAGTACAATATAGAAATCCTGACTCGTGCCAGAGGAGATGACACTGAGAGATAAAGGAAGTAATTATAGCAAGGCAAAGGAGAACCAGACACAAGGAATAGCATATGCAAATGTCCTGTGTTAGGATGGGCATAAGTCTGCCAAGGAAATAAAAGTGTCAATTAAGCTAAAGTGAAGAAGACCCAAAAGTGGTATGATATAAGATGAAACATATTGTAGGGAGAAGCAGTACCTTCTGTGAAGTTACTGACAAGTCTAAGGAATTAGGCCTGTATTCTCAGTGCAGATAAATCAGCCACTATTTTAAGCAGATGTGTGAAAACTCATGCAGTCTTTTGGAAAAATCATACTAATATTAGCTTGGGTTTAGAGTGGAGAATGTGTAGTCATAATATCAGGAAGATGAGTGAGGAGGCTAGTTCACTAATCAAGATGAGAGATGTTGGTAGTTTGGAGGTATTGGCAGAAGACGTAAAAAGTAAATGAATTACACATAGATATATGATCATATAATAGAAGTTGGAGAAGGATTGAATGTGGGGGATGGGAGAAGGAAGGGGCTGGGATGAATCCTAGTTTTTAGCTTATGTGCCACATCCTTGAGGTCTCATGTTAAATACCAGGTCCTCACAAAGGTCTTCTCTGGCCACCTTATCTCAAAAAGATTCCCTCTGTTAGAGTATCTCATTTGTTTCTTGCTGACAGTTATCAAAACTGTTTGGTTTTTTTTTTAATTTGTAAGGAGGGGAAGTAGCGCAGTGTCTTTGTGAATAGAGAGAGCTTAGCAGAGGACATGACTTAAAAGCATTCAATCAAAATATATAAATTGAGTAAATTGATTAAATGAATATTGATAACAGTTTCAAAAGCTAAATATTTTGCTTCTAAGTCCATTTAAGAAGCTCTCATATTTCCTTTAATAGAAAGGAAAAGCAGGTAAATAATTTTTTTCTCACAAGTTAAACAAATAATGTTCTTTACCTTATATTAATATAATGAGCTTCGTGGTGTTTAAATCCGCATCAATCTACTATTTTGATCGCTAGATTCAAAATCTCTTTATTGCCACTGACACTTCAAAGTGCATTTGATCCATATCATATTGCTTAATCAAGGATAAGTTCTTTGATTTAAAAAAGAATGAAAAAATGGCCAAATTATAAAAGGTTCTTGTATGATAGCCCAAAGAGGAGTGAAATACAGGCATTTTGACATTTTCCAAGTCACTGTTGAGCTGACATCTTCTCCATACTGTCTAGTGCAATGAACCCTTCAGAGTGAGAAAGCCAACATTTCTTTTTGAGAACTGCTATATATTTTTACCTAGATGAAAAGTACTGTCTCACTAAGAAAGGCTGACTGTTCTAGGCTTTTATGAAAAAATGAAATGTAAGCCATTTGTGGTCTATCTTAAACCCAGTATGTCTCTGCTGTGTCAGAGAATGGATAAAATGCGTTCCATCTGCTTAACCTACCCTCCAGGAGGCAACTCAGGATAGAGCTAGTCTGTCATTATTTTCCCTTCCTCCTCTTCCTCACTTAACTCCCATCCACCTCGAGGGTTACCTGGATTATTTTTCTTATTTTTCAGAGAAAACACCATAGCTCAAATTCCAAATGGTCATTTGAAAGCCAAAGGCAGCTAAAATGAGGGTTCTTTGTATGACTGGTATTTCACAAAAAATTAGGTCCCTCAGTTTGCTTTTCTTCTTTCTAAAGTGGGATGTACTCATTTGCATCATCAGTATGTGGCATACTTGTAAGCTCAATGTAAATATAGAACTCAAACTAAAATTTATCTTGTGCTCTGCTGTATAAACATATAACATGTAAATGCCAACTAACATTTATATTTATATAGTGCTTTAGCATTTTTCCATGTGCTTTAATATATGTTATTTCATTCATGCGTCATAACACCTCGGTAAGGAATGTTAGGTGAATAGAAATATACTAATTTCATAAATGTGGCAACTGAGACACAAAGCAGTTAGTTGATTTACTGGTATCATAAAGTAAGATTTAAACCAAATGAATCTCACTTGGAAAGCTTTTATTTATTGTATTTGTGGTTTCATATCAAACATTACTAATATTCAATTCTAAGCTGTATCAACAGAGTTCTGACATTAGAAACATTTTGGCTTTGAAACAATTGATCTCTTCAGTTTTTCAGCTGTGGGAAGATATCCAGCTTCTCTGGCAAAGTCCTTTGCAATTTTTTTTAAAGATTTATTTTATTTATGCATACAAGACCTGGGGTGTAGGTCAGAGGTATGGGGGTGAGAGGAGTCACCAGAGACAGAGTAGGGAGCAGAACAGACAGAATGACTGAAATACACTGCGGGCAAGACAGGAGAGGGTTATCTCCCTGGCTGGGGATTGAACTAGTGCTGCAGTGGCTGCTAATAGCTTCATAGTGCTGAGACTTAAATCCTTGTGCCACCAGGGAGGCCCCACGTTCTTTTCATTTTTTGGGTAAATGAACAAATATAAATATCCAGAGCTTAGTGTAATATGTGAGGAATATATAGAAGCAGGTGATAAATCCTAGAAGGAAAATGGCACATAATCATTCTAGGTAAGGAAGTTACACATTTTTTTTAAAGTCTGTGTAATCAGCAAAGCAGATGGGACTTTAATTGGACACTAAAGGAATATACATGTCATGTCAAATAATGGACACTTAGCTTTTTTCTTATTATGTTAGTGAAATGCATCTAAGAGAGAAGTTAACGTACTTGAGAGCAATAAGCAAAAATATCGGAGAACTTTTGAGCTCTGGAGAGATTTGGAGAGGATTTAAAAGCATCCAAATAGGATTCCAACTGATTTTTTTTCCAAATAGCTAATCATTCAAATGCTACTTCTTGAGCAATTCATTCTTTATCCACATACTTAAAATGCCACACTTACTTTGCTAAATACTTATACTTGGTTTACATCAGAGCTCACAGTCCTTTCCACTGATAAAACTATGCCTTCTAGTATCATATATCATTGTCTTAATTCTTGAACACTTGGGTATATTTGAAAATATGAAAGTGCAAGACTACATGAATTGTTCTTTTCCAAAGATTTTTTCTTTTTGGTTTTACCATTTTTACATAAGTTTTATTACTGTTTTTTCCAATTCTTGGGGAAAATTCCATGGGGAATTTTAAAATTATACTTGCATTAAATTCACAAAGTAATTTTGACAGAATCATCATGTTGGTAATATCATGCCTTCCCAGAAAGGTGCTTTTATATTTCTTCACTTATTCAAGATACCTTTATATCTCATTAAATTTTTAAAGTGTTTCATGTAGCATGTCTTGGTAACTTGTTTCATAGGAATATTTATGTTGCTTTTATAAATGATCTGCCTCTCAATATTCCTGACTTATTATTGGTGGTATATTGGAAAATGATTGATTTTTCTTTTTACATATATTTGGTAACTAGCTTAACTATCTTCTTGGGGAGCTGATCTATCAGTGACATGTCATTTATCTTCCTTTACTGGTATTATTGGATTAAACATCGAGATACAGAGCCACTCACTGTTAGAACCAACCCATCTCATCTGTCTTCCAGAAAATCTAACTAATCTCTATAGTATTTAGCTTTGTGACTTCTCCCATTTTTTTATCTGACCTTTGAAATATAGTTCTAAATTCTACTTTATTGCCACTAAATTGTGATATTACACTTTAAAATCTTAGAGAAACTAGATAATTTTCTATAGCATCAAATATAACTTTAAAAATGTTATATCACAAAAATACAATACAAACATGAAAAATTAACATATCCTTCATATTTTACTGAAAAAACAAATAATAAAACAGTGAGCAAATAGTGTATTTGTTTAATTTTCAATACATTGGTAGAGGCCATGAATCAACTTGACATTCAAAAAACACTGAGATCAATGTTCTCTGTGTAGACAAATAAAACTTGAGAGTGGAGATGAGACATAATGAGCCTCAAAGAATGAGCAGGATTTTAATGGAGTAAAAAGATAAAAGCGCCAGCTTTGACCTTTAAGTAGGCAATTTGGGCACTGGTTCTGCTAGAAGCTTGATTCATATCTGAAAGAGACCATGGTTCATGGACAAATAGTGTCATATCCTGCTGCCTGTGAATTACTGCACTTTAGATATTTACTGTTTCCTAAAGGTGTAATATAAATATCAGACAGTGACCTTGCAAATAATTTTGAGTTGAGAAGACTTAAGGGAGGAAAAAAAATCTCAAGCAATTCCTAGAGTTTTGACATTTAGATAAAGCTGATAAACCTTTAGTGTACCCCAAAGCCACAGGGATCCCTATAATTCATCACTTTCCTGTCATCACTTTGTTTTCAGACAAACCTCCAACCATATTCCTTCTCCCCATCTCCAACCAGACAAGATACAGTGAGAAGTTATTTTGTTGTCTCATGTACCTGTAGTTTTGAATCGGTTTTCATCTCTCATGGGAATCTTTTATCATCTCTAAATCACTGGCTGGAACAGTTACATTTTTAACAGAGATTGGGAGTTAATTACCTGCCTAATGAAGTGATGAGCACAAAGTGTATTAACAGAAAAGCTGGTTTATTTTGCCTATGGATGTACTTCTGAAGTACAGTTACCTTAGTAAAGTCATAGCCTTCTTTCTGAAAAAAACTGATCATTGAAAAGTTAAAGCTAGATAAGGAAAAGAGAATTTAATGTAACTGTTTCTCAAAGATACACAGCACAGAATGTGATTTCCTTCTGTCTTGAGA